ATACCTGGATTCAGATGAAGGGAGAGGGGAAAACATACATCGCACTGTCTCACAAAGAACACTCACTAAAAGAAGTTCAATGATTTGAATGTGGAGCCCCCGGTGGCGCAGTGGGTTAAAGCCCTGTGCCGGCAGGACTGAAGACCGACAGGTTGCAGGTTCAAATCCGGGGAGAGGTGGATGAGCTCCCTCTGTCAGCTCCAGCTCCTCATGCGGGGACATGAGGGAAGCCTCCCACAAGGATGATAAAAACATCAAAATCATCCAGGCATCCCTTGGGCAGCGTCCTTGCAGACGGCCAATTCTCTCACACCAGAAGCGACTTGCAGTTTCTCAAGTCACTCCTGACACGACAAAAACATTTTTTTGAATGTGTTGGTTACTCTTGAACTTTATAGAGATGATGCACATTTTTACATTTTGTATTTAGAAACTCAGCTTGAGGAAAATGTAAGTGGAACAAAGGACTGTTTCCAACTATAAATAGCAAGCACTCATTTAAAAACAATCATTTCCAGCTCTGTAGAAGCTGGGCACCGTCAATTTTTTTACAATCCCCATAAAACTCACTGTAATTGATCATTTTAAAAATGGTTGTCAACGAAAGTAAAAACACCTCAGGTTTCTCTAAATATTTTATGCACCACCACTCTTTTACTAAAAGCAAAAGAATGTTAGATTCCAAACACTGCGGTGAATTAAATAAAGATGTTCCTTTTTAGGAACTTTAGCCTGAATTAGAAACATGCCTTCAAGTTTCTAAAAAGGAGAAAGGAGAGCAGCCTGAACTTTAACATGCTTTTACTCATCTATTTATGGCAGACTTGTTTCTACGTTGAAAGGGATTGTGGAAGAATGAGCATAGATATGAGAGAGCATAAGACCCCTGCTTGTATAGAACAGAAACCTTTTCTGACATTTAGTTCAGTCTTTTGACATCAATAGCAGACAAGAAGATTCTTCAGGGAAGCTAACAAGAAGAAACAAAGGAACCAAAAATCTTCTGATGTTTGCTTGAAACCAGCTTCTAACATTAGGCAAAAGATCTCTGTGCCTTCAAGGCACCTGTTGACTTATGGTGACCCCATGGATTTCATAGGGTTTTCTTAGGAAAGGAATGCTGAAAACTTCTGCAATTTGGCCCATGTTGTTGTTCATTCATTCTGTCATTTCCAATTCTTCATGACCTCATGGACCAGCCCACGCCAGAACTCCCTGTTGGCCGTCACCTCCCCCAGCTTCTTCAGGGTCAAGTCAGTCACTTCAAAAATACCATCCATCCATCTTGCCCTTGGTCGGCCCCTCTTCCTTTTCCTTCCATTTTCCCCAGTGTAATTGTCTTCTCTAAGCTTTCCTGTCTTCTCATTGTGTGGCCAAAGTACTTCATCTTGGCCTCTACAATCCTTCCTTCCAATGAGCAATCGGGCTTTATTTCCTGAAGTACGGACTGGTTGGATCTTCTGGGGGTCCAAGGTACTCTCAGAACTTTCCTCCAACACCACAGTTCAAAAGCATCTATCTTCCTTCGCTCAACCTTCCCTATGGTCCAGCTCTCACATCCGTAGGATACTACGGGGAATACCATTGCTTTAACTATATGGATCTTGGTTGCCAGTGTGATGTCTCTCCTCTCCACTATTTTATCGAGATTGGTCAAAATGATTATTCTATCATACTTTTTCCAAATCTGAGGAGTCATCATTCAGTAGTGTAGGATTCAGTCCCTTAGTCTAGCTGTGAAAGACACATTGCAGACGAGAGAAAGACCAATGTAAGCTTGATTCTGTGTAGAGTCATAGGCACTCTGGTTTATCCAGTGTCCTGTCCGAAGTCCCTGTTGACTGCATAACATACGGTACCCAATCCAGTCCAATCCTTTACTATCTAACACTGAACCATCGCGGAGATTAAGATCTTCCGGGGAGGCCCTGCTTTCCGTCCCACCATTGTCACAGGCACGATTGGTGGGGACAAGAGGCAGGGCCTTCTTGGTGATTGCTCCCAGGCTATGGAACTCGCTTCCTTGTGAGATCAGGTCGGTCCCCTCTCTCCTGTCCTTTTAGAAGGATGGTAAAAACTTGGCTGTGGGACCAAGCTTTCAGGACAGGGCAATAAAGTGGCCAATAGGAAAGATGACCAGGCCAATGATTTGACGCGGATGACTAGGACGGTTTTAAATGATGTATTTTAATATTTTGATAAATGTTTTTTTAATGTTTATGTATTGTATGTGAATCTGTGTCCTGGCATTGAATGTTTCCCGTGTATACGCTGTGCTCTGCCCTGAGTCCCCTTCGGGGTGAGAAGGGCGGAATATAAATGTTTTAAATAAATAAATAAATAAATAAATAAATAAATAACATTTGCATGTATTATACATGCATGTACAATGTGATTAGTGACGAGAGAGTATATGGTCCCTCCCAAAGTCCTTATTAGCTGTCAAAACTTCATGAAAGGGCAATTGAAATAATTTTTGTAGCTTTGTGTAAAACTATGTACATTTGTTCTTCTCTTCTTTATTCCTGTTTGTCCCTGTTTATGTGGTACAAAATTGTGTGCTGCTTGCAATTGATTACATCATGTTTTGATTTCTGTAGGAGGCATCATAAATAAGTCTCTCTTTTTGAGTTTTTTAATGTTCTTCAAAATTCCTAAGCAAAGGCAGCTGCTGAAATGACTTTATAAAGCAAAATGTCCTTGACAACAATCCAAATAGTACCAGAGGCCAGTTTATACTTGTAACCTTCAAAGATTTTGCTGACCTATAGACAACTGTGTTTCTTTCAAAAGAAAAACATACACAGATGTAGCTGCATTATATCCTTGATCTCTTACATTGTTGTGGTGTGCTCCACAGATAAGCGAGTTTATACTGTAGCAGTTACTCTTCAGTCCAATTTAAATGTGCTTGGAAAAGTTGCAACTAATTCCTTTATTTATTTATTTATTTACTAGCTGTACCCGCCATGCATTGCTGTGGTCAACCTTCCCTCTCTCTTTCTCTCCTCCTTTCTTTCTCTCCTTCCTTCTCTCCAGAACTTGAGTTGTTTACCACTTTATGTGAGGGATGCCATCTTATTACGCCATTGTGTTTAATGGAACTTAAGCATCCACAGATTTTTGTATCCATAGAGGGTCCAGTAACCAAATCCCAGTGGATACCAACAGGCCATTATAATGTGTGGGTCAGAAGCCTAGCTTTGCTGCTCTTCATTATAAATCAACATGGTTTATATATATAGTGGAACTTCTGTTTAAAAGCACCCCAACTTAATAGCATTTTGAGTTAAGAGCTATCACTCAGCCCTTGTTTTGCTTTGACATAAGAGCAACATTTTGAGTTAAGAGCTAGTGCCAGAGGGAGCACTAATGTGAGAGTAGAGGGCTTTAGGGCTACAATTGAGCAGTCTTCATGCCCTTTGCCATTGTCCACTTTGGGAGATTGCTGTCTGCTTTGCTCTTGTCAGCTTTGGGAGATTGCTAGCTGCTTTGCTCTTGTCCATGACTTCATGAAGAGAGAGCAAGAGAGAGAAGTAGTCTGGAATGAAGACAGTATAAAAAAACGATGCTTCTGTCTCTCCACTTTGTGCTTCTTTGCCACAGCTTTGTTCTTCTAGCATTGTGCCACAACTTTGTGTTTCAAACATCTTAAAATTGATTTTTCATTGTTCTGTGTGAATGTGCATTTATGCATTATTTGCTATTTATAAAGTAAATTTTCTTATTTTAAAATGTATAACAAAAAAGCACGGATTAATAGCATTTCAATGCATTTCAGTGGGAAAAATTGCTTTGAGATAAGAGCATATTGAATTAATAACCTAGTTACAGAGCAAATCAAACTCTTAAGTCAAGATAATAATAATAATAATAATAATAATAATAATAATAATAGAACTTTATTTATACCCCGCCACCATCACCCCAAGGGACTCAGAGTGGCTTACATGAGGCCAAGCCCAACAGTACATCAATAAACAAAAGCAATAAACAAAACAAAAAATACAACACAATTGATAAAAATCACATATAAACAATAACCAATAAACAGTAACACACCAAGATTTAAAAACCTATGGCCGGGCCAAATGTAATAGTTTAAAAATTAAAAAATAAATGCTGGGCATGAACAAGGTCAGATATAACTGGTATAGGGTTTTCAAAGAGAGATGAGGGAACACAGTCAATCCTAAACAGTAGTCAAGTGCATTCTGAGGGCATATTGCTGAAAAATTTCCTTATTCTGGGAAGGCACACTGGAACAACCACATTTTCAGGTTCCTCCTAAAGACTGCCATTGTTGGGGCATGCCTGATGTCCTTGGGAAGTGAGTTCCAGAGTCAGGGGGGCCACCACTGAGAAGGCCCTCTCCCTCATCCCCACCAATGGCGCCTGCGAAGGAGGTGGGAGCGCAAGCAGGGCCTCTCCAGATGATCGAAGAGATCGTGTGGGTTCGTACACAGAAATGCGGTCATGCAGGTAGGCGGGTCCCAAACTGTTCAGGGCTTTGTAGGTAAGAACCTGCACCTTGAATCGGGACCAGAAAATGAACGGCAGCCAGTGGAGCTCCTTAAACAGGAGGGTTGACCGCTCTCTGTAAGTCGCACCAGTTAGTAATCTGGTTGCCGCCCGTTATAGCAATTGAAATTTCCGGGCCGTTATCACTGTATATGGATCGATATATATCTCTGTTCACAATGCACTTGGCTTTGTAATACCAAGTGCACTGTGGCAGTGGTGATTCTTTTAAGGTTTCCACAGCACAACAGAGAGAGTAGAGGGAGTAAGTACTTCTTTCAGGTTATCTCAAAATGGAGAAAACTCAGTCTGAGAGCTGTATTAAAAAATTCAGCTATCACAACTGCTCAAGATATTTAGCAGTTATTGTCATTGGTTTCTCATTGATTTCTCCATTGTTATTTATAAGCTTGGCACTCCTTTGTTATTCCATATCAACTTTATTTTAACCTGTTACATGCATTTTTTCTATTTTGCAGAATTTTGAGAGGGAAAAATGAGTGATCCTGAAGAAGAAGAAGAAAAAAAAGATGATTATGATGATGACGAAGAAGAGGAAGAAGAAGAGCCTTACGCTCCTTCTGATGAGTCTGAAGAAGAGGCAGAAATGAAGTCTGAATCAGAATCTGAACCAGAAAATCTACAGGATCCTATTTATGCTTTGGCTCCAACAATTAATATTCAAGATGAAAGTTCCATTGATGTGAATTCATGTCCTGCGTTTCAGTGCCTTGATGAGGTAGTGTATTAGTAGTTTCATTTTGGTCAGCAGGATGGATATTATTTGAAAGTGAGGGAACATTTATTCTCTTCATCATGTTTTAATTTTATTGGCAAGATTTTAGGACAGTTTTTGTATAAAAATATAGAACTGTAAGAAACTTTGTAGTTCAGTTCCTTCTTCATAATACTAACAATGTCATTTACTTGGAGTGAGAATACGACAAATAACAGATAACTCCTTGCTTAATATTCAAAGAAAGTAGGAGGCTATTATAACAAAAATAATCCCTCTGTTTTCTGTTCCATGTTGCTTTTTTAGTTGATTTACAGTTATAGGAAATTAAAAATGAAACGACAATTTAAGGACCTATTGTGAAAATGGCATTGATTTATCACAACTGCAGCCTAGGTCAAGATATTAGCCTTCCTTTCTTAGAGCTTAAATACTCGAATAAAACCAATCAGAAAATTTTATACTATGATTCAAACACACTACTAAAGACACCGTTGATTTCATATGCTTGATGTGCATAAGACCTTTCTATTATTTTTCAGTTATCTCATTCTACCAGATGTTTTAAAGAAAATTGTTATGTCTCCCATTTAATTTTTTTATTATATATTATTATTATTATATAAACAATTAGAAATCTCCAAATAGAATAGCATCACATGTATCCCAGTGTAACAAAAGAGGGAGAAATTCTGATAGTTTTGTCAATACTGAAATTCATGTTAAATTAATGTTTTATTTACCACAAAAGAGAATGACCATGACTGCAGAGCTGCTAAAGTTTTTGCTCCTTAGCCAATATATTAGTTACTGTTTCTCTCAAGTTATGGAGCAAATATATTTAAGAACTGGTCAGTAAAGTATATAAAACATGACCCCTCCTTTGGGTTTATATAACTGTTTTTTTATTGTATGCAAGAAGTTGTGGAATTAATTATTTCATTGAACATCACTGGTAGCTATGCAGTCAGGCATGTAGCCGGGGGCGGGGGATCTTGGGGGGCTTCAGCCCCCCCCCCAAATTCTCATGGTGGTCTGCAAGAGGGCCTTACTAGTACATTATTTAAACTGTTATGTTTATTCATATCATGATCTGATCACCATGCCCAATATATCCCATATGCATGGGGGTATTGGGATAATGATACAAAGAGTTTGCTAGGGTAGACCCTCTTTCACTCAGACTCAGCCCCCCCCCCCCCCCTGAAACTACAGCTGTATGTGTATCCTGGCTACGGGCCTGTATGTGTTTTAGAAATCTTGTAACATATTTGCTCAGTGCCGTTAATTTGTAAAGAGAAGAAGTAAAGAGTCAGGAAATATAGAGGAAAACCCAATACTAAAAAGAATGGTTAGCCTGAAATGTTTTGGACATTAAAAATAAAACAACTTCTTTTGAGGTACTTTTTTAAAAATATATTTTTATCGGTTTTCTTAAAATACATCAATACATCAATACCTTCAATACCCTTATATTCGATACTCAATTCATTACATATATGTGTATATATATCTTGCATACTTTTTTTTTGTTCAACTCTGTGTACACTTCAATTTACATTCTCTTTCCAAAATACCATTTCTTCTTGTGGAAGTAATTTCCCATCTAGTTCTTTTAAGCCATTGTCAATAAATTTTCTTTTGAGGTACTTTGAGGGTATGGCCTGGAATGAAATGTTCTCTAGCACTTTGATTCAATTTGGGAGAGAAGCAATTCAAGGAGTAAAGCTTGTTCTGGAGCTCCAAAACTGCCAGTTTACTTAGGTATAAAAAGATGTGGGATTACCCGCTTGAAACCAATATTTGTGTTATTGATCAGTGAGTCTCAAAGGGAGTAGCGGTCACAGATAAGGCAGCAACTTAGGTTGCCATCTTAACTCCTATACAAAAATTGCCTCAGACAACTCCAAAGATAAGACACACTACATTTTTCAGTGCTATATGAGTGATGGTCACTCATTGACCTGATAGGTGTATTGTGTCCAAATTTGGTGTCAATTCGTCCAGTGGTTTTTGAGTTATGTTAATTCAACAAACAAACATTGCATTTTTATTTATATAGATTGAGAGCAGTGTTTCTGAGATGCAGATACCTAGATGTTGTTGAATGTCAGTGCCTAGAACAGTCAGCTGGTATTGCTATCAGTCAAGGATTCTGGGAGTAGTATTCCTAAAATTTTGGATATTAATATTTAGGAGAGACAGATTTAGAGAAAGTTATGGTTGAATTAAGTGAGAGTGGTATGAAAACAAAACAGATACAGGAACTATTGTTGAAGTCCAATCAATTTGCAGGGCACAGAAGACATTCTATATCAAAATAAGTAAGGGAGAGATCCAAAAAACAAATCTGTGTTTTAAGTAATGGATTTCAGTGCTGGGATGATAGTCAGGAGACTAACTGGCTGTGTTCCAAAGACCCAGTGTGACATTTCAATCATGCCAACATTCTCAGACACTTCTGCTAATTTTACATTTCAAGTCAGGTATGTAAACATAGGGCATATCTTTGGTTTAGAAATAATCTCTCTGAATAAAAAAGACATCTATATAAATAAAAATGTAATGTTCGCTTGTGGGATTATTTGTTTGTCAGACTGAGTGACCATCACTCATAAATACACTGAAAAACACAACAGAAGGTACTTAAAAAGCCAAAAACCAAAAAATACATTACAATCCATGCTCAAAAACACATATACACATAAACACACATATATACACATATACACAAATATATATACACACACAAAACACATATACACGGACTGGGCCACCGCAACGTGTGGCAGGGGACGGCTAGTGAGATATAAATTAATATCTTATTATTTCAAAACAGATATTGCCATACCACAGGATGTGGTATTTTAATAAATTCAGCATAGCAACAATGTGTTGGATGAAGCTGATATCTAAATTTATTTATTTATTTATTTATTTATTTCACAGTTTTGTATACCGAGCTTCTCAACCTCGTTGAGGGACTCAGCCCGGTTTACAGCCATAAAAACATATACATTCATTAAAATATCATAGATCACAAATTACAAAACAACTTTAAAAACACTAAATATAAAACTACAGTGGTCAGTCGTCCTAATAAGATGGATCTATATCCACTTCCATCCAGAGTCCTATGGTGTTGTCTCATTCCTCGAAGGCCTAACTCCACAGCCACGTCTTCACCCGTTTCCTAAATGTTAGGATGGGTGGGGCGGTTCTGGCCTCCAGAGGGAGAGAGTTCAAGAGTTGTGGGGCCACCACCGAGAAGGCCCTGTCCCTCGTCCCCACCAGCCGCGCTTGCGAGGCTGGTGGGACCGAGAACAGGGCCTCTCCAGATGATCTTAGTAATCTTGATGGTTCGTAGGGGAGAATACGTTCGGAGAGGTAAACAGGGCCAGAGTCGTTGCTCCGGCCCTGTTTAAATCAGTGCTCCTCAAATTAGTGTTCCCAGACAAGTTGCCAGGAAAGAGAAGGACAATAGTACTGGTCTCTGGCACATTGAGAGAGGAAGAAGCACTGATCTAGACCCAAATCATTCCTGTCAAGAGTGTTGGTTGATGACATTTATCAGAGGGAAACACAGATTATTGCCTTGTTTCTCCTTAATGTAATATCACGGCAGCTTTTGAGCACAGAAAATATTAGTCCTTTCACTCTTTTAGTTAAAACGGTCTCTGCATGCCCAACTAAGCATATATGCCCTAACGTATGTTCTGCTCAATTAATAACAGGTTTTCTGTCCAATCTTTTATTTTGGAATATGTGATATGTTTAATAGTCATCAGTCAACTATTTCTGACTCTCTCCATGTACATCATCATCTTTGATACAATACAATATTTTTCTAACACAATGTAGCCTTATTTAGGGAACTGCTAAGAACTTTAAAAATGGGTAGAAGAAATGACTCAAAATTGCTTAGTCCTTTTTCAGAATGCCACTTATTTCCAAAATGACTTCAGTTAAGCTAAACATTTCCATGTCATGACAATGATTTGTAAGTGGTTTGCTTCACGGGATTTCATTACTTGATTGGAATAAAATGTTGTTATGTGTCAGCTTTGACTTATGATGACCTATGTATGACAGATTTCCAAGAGAACCAACTGAATAGTCCTGTTAGTAATTGTCCTCTTAAGTCAAGTGGTTTTTATTGATAAGATTTGAAACAGTAGCAAAGGTCTTGGAACTTCTCTCCTGGAAACTCCAATTCACAGCTATTTCGTGAGGTCAATATAACTTGTTAGAACTTTTCCAGAGAATGAATGAGCCTCCATTAATTTGAATATTAATTTGAACAACTGACCCAAGTGTGATAACGACTACTTTAAACTTATTTGCTATCATCAGGAAGCATGAGTATGAGGTTGCTTTTTCTGTTACTTTTTAATAGCTAAGAACTGTTTCTACATGTTGAGTAAGCATGTTAGGAAATGATACTACTGTGTGTTTTTCTTATCAAAACCAAAAAACTAGCACCAAATGAGTATTAACAGAACTTGTGTAAGAATTGGTGCAATGATTCCTCATCATGGCACCTTTATGGTGGCATTATGGCACTGGTTTCATGTGGTTTGCTTTATCCATCCTGGCTCTAACCTTTTATGATGATTAAGGATTTCCCCTGCCATAAATATTTCATCATAAGTATGCTTCGTCTATGCCAGATTGGAGGTATTATTAATCATTCACAGCCACTGTGACAGGAAGAATTGCATAGTTCATATGCTTTTCAGAATTAGTTTTAACAGTTTGTCCTTGTTTTTGTTCTTTGGTGGTACAAACAAGCAGGAATTTTGACAAAGGTAATTTTGCAAGACATTAGTTTCCTGATTGTTATAAAGCTGTCGGCAGTGTAGTCATTAATACAATATACAAGTATATTGCTATGACCCAGTTTTTCCATATCTCTCTTTTATATGTAAAACTTTCATGGCACAAAGACATGTCCATATTAGGATGAATCATTAGTAAAGGTTGCAGGAATTGTAAGTTTAGAG